ACCGCCCGCTGTCAGGATCACAGAGGGAACTGGAAGTCAGTAAGCGGTGAGCTGAGGCTATGGCCCCTGAGGGCGTTGCCAGACCTGGAAATACATCTGGATGGCCAGGAGCCTGGGTTTTTGTGCCCACATGGAGCAGGAGAGGAAGCCTCAGGCCTGCGAAAGACTCAAAGTGGGGACAGAGATGCCTGGTAGCACAGCTGCACTGTCACAGAACTAGCGACTGGAAAAACTCTACCCAGTAGCCGAGGGAGATGGGAAGGAGCCTATTCTCAAGCAAGGAATAAACACAAAAATTGGTCCTGGGCTGGTGATACCTTGGGCACACCTGGTAGAAGCAAATGCAAAGTGCCCTGATCTCCTCTTACACGAGTGCCACGTTCGTGAAGGACCTGACAGCTGACCTAGCTCTTCCACAAGACAGGGATGGTTGCGACCATTTAGGGATGAGGAAGCGGAGGCTCAGCAAGGCTAAGTGACTTGTCCAAGACCACACATTGGGTAAAAGGAAGAGCTGGGCCCAAACCCAAGCCCTTCCTCTCTGCAGCCCTGCCTCTAGCCGAAGTGCGGGTTCAGGGGTAGCCTCCATCATCCCAAACACCCAGGAAACGTGCAAGCAGGCACCACTGGCAAGGCAGGCACCTGGGGTCAGACACAAATGCAGAGGCACCTGGCCAGAAATGAGTCACATCCTGGTGGCTGAGAGATGGGTCACGAGCCGTCCTGTGCCCCCATGCTCCTCATCTGAGTAGGGAGGGCCAGGAGGGAATGTTTAGCAGGGACTGCAGAGGGGCTGGAGCCTTTGGGCTGACCAAAACTGGAAGCTGTGTCCATGGGGTGAGAGGTTTGTTTTTTTTTTTTTCTTCTTTTTCTTGAAGCCACTTGAACTTTGTCATTGCAATTAAACTTATCTCTCCTTGTGTTTGCTCAACTCGTGGGAGGGCAATGTCATCACCCTCTCCTAGTTTCATGGAAAACTACTCATAAGTACTCATTTTTTAAATGGCTACTAATCTCTGTGGCCTCAAGACTCACAAAAAATTCTGACCCAAAGGAGGCCATTGGAGGTTGCCCCAGAATTGCCATGTTTAGGGTCAGGAGGAGAGAAAGTCTCAACTGGTGTCCATCACTGCGGTCCACCTGCCTCTCTGACCAGCATGCTGTCCATCTGGCAGGGTGAGCTGTCAGGGCTTCCCCGGTTGTGCCAAGCCCTTGACCAACCTCAAAGTTAGTTGCATCCCCAGTGCTGTTCTGAGTCTGCAGGCGCTGCTGGGATGGGGTAGGCAGGATGCACAGGGCCGGGCAGAAGAGTCCACAGGGAATCTGCTCACAGGCCCTGCTGTTCCTGATCCAGGCTTCCCCAAAGTCTGCTGCAGTTGATGCTGACTTGCCCTAAGGAGAAATCTTCCTGACCCTCCTTCCCACTCCTCGCCTTAGATCCCAGAAAGCTGCACTGTGGGGCATGTCATTTGAAATGTGGGATCAAGGGGAGAAGGCTTGGATGTGGAATGTACATGCAGGCAGCAGGGTGCATGAGAGAGCACGGTGCGTCCTCTCAAACTGAGCACTCGATGACTCGGTGCAGTGATGACTATCACCGCCATCTTCCGTGGTGACTGTTTCACTGGTTTCAGACTGCAAAGCCCCTAAGCTTCCCCTTTAGGCAGTTGTTCACTGATTCATTCCCTACTGAGTGTTTGACGAGTTCTTTAGGCAGGTGTGGATGAGGTGGGTGGATGAGGTCTCAGCTATGGACTTGAATTTATCCCTGGGCTCAACCACGGTCATTACACAGGCATACTCCAGCTATTAGCCTTGGCTGTAGGTTGTAGATGTAACCCAAATGCCATCTGGGATCTAAATAAAATGCACTTGAATTCCTCCAACGTCCTGCCTAAGATTTGTGGGAGCCCCTGGGGGAAATGCAGCCCCATGGACATGCTACTTCCTGATGCTGCTTCGTGGTGTGCTGACTCCACAACGGCATGTCAATCCAGAGGTGAAACGCAGCTCTTCATCATTTGCCACAGGCACATGTATTGACTCATGTGTTATATTTCACTGAAGCTTTTGAGGCAGGAGGGGAGGGAATTAAGGAGAGATGGATGGGGCGGGGCTTCGCTCTGCAGCACTAGCTTTCCTAGAGCTCTTCCCGCCTCGCTGCCACTGGGGGGTTCTTAGTGACCTGTCACCCTGCACCTGCTGGCTGGCCATCTCCTCTCTGCCTGCTGCACCCCTCTCTCTTTCCCCCTCTCTCTGGGTGAGGGAGGAGAAAGGAACAACTAGGCTTCTCCAGGTCTCCCGCACAGGAGAGCAACCCTTCCCCTCAGACAGTGTGGCTCTCATGGACACACACTTCTTGGGTCTCACCCGCTTTCCCAAGCAGCTTACTCAGTCATTTACACACATGTGTGCCCAAGCACACACAGTTTCCTCTCTGAGAGGAATATTGGTGTCAGTTCTTAAGACAATAGCTTTTTCATATCCTCACACATATAAGAATGAAAACTCACCATCTCACCTGGAGTAGGTCAGGGTCCAATGGAGCCCCTTCAACACAATGAGACACATTAAAAGAGACATAATTAAGGCTCAGGACAAGAGGGAGACCATGGATGTATTGTCATACTTTGAGCCACTCTACCCATTTCACTTCCAGTGCTAAGGCCTTCATGGTGACTAAAAATTCTCAGCCTACAAAGCCCACTCAACTTTCTCTAGGCACAACCCGGACCGTGGCCTGGGAAGCACTTTGCATTCCAGGCACTGTCAGGCAGGCCGATCAGAGGGGCAGAGCAGAGCTCACCTGTGTGCTGGCAGGGAAGGTTTATTGGTGCCAGAATCTTCATGACTGCAACACTCAACTAGTGGTCTCTGCCCCTACTGCTCAGGAGGTAGTGATCTCCCCATCGCAGGATATATTCTAACGTCACCTGTCAGGGATGCTGGAGAAGGGCTGCTGGAGAAGGATATCATGTTTGGTGAAGCAGAGGGCCAGTGACGGCAAGGGAGTCCCTCAGTGAAATGGACTGGCACCATAGCCACACAATGGACTGGAACATGCAGTGATCATGAGGATGATGCACGACTGGGCAACATTTCATTCTGTTGTACTTAAGGTCGCCATGAGTCAAAGCTGACTTGAAAGCAGCTATCTAGCTATTAGTACATTTTGATGAGTTTATTTGCTGAGCCATCATTGACTGAGCGCCTGCCTGCCATGTGTCAGGTATTGCGAACACCAAGGCAGAGCACAGTGACAGAGAACACATAGAGGAATAACCCCAGTAGGAGGTTATTGCAAAGTACTCTACAAGGCCAAAGAAGGGAGTGGTTAGCTCTCTCTGAGGAAGTCATCAGAGGTTTTCACAGAGAAGATGGCATTGAACAAGAGGAGAAGGTAGAGCAGGGTAAAAGGAATGGGACGTACACAACCAGGAAGGTGTGTTCCATTGGCCCTGGGACTGAAGCTATGACCTGGGGAAAAAGAAGCCAAGGATATGAGGGTAGGAAGGTAGGCTAGAGCCAGGTTGCAACAGTTTTGCAGGGCTGGCAGCCGTGCTAGAAGCTTAGGTAATTGATATGGCAATCACATTTCCTAAGCCAAAAATCAGAGCCCACAGATGAGAAAAACACAAGAGTTCACTGTGGTGGTTGTTGTGATTGTTAGTTGCAGTCAAGTCGATTCTGACTCATGGCGGACCCATGTGTGCAGAGTAGAATTACTCCACAGGGTTTTCAAGACTGTGAACTTTCGGAAGCAGATCACTACTTCTTAGGCACCTCTGGGTGGCTTTGAACCACCAACCTTTCAGTTAGTAGTCCAGCACTTAACCATTTGCGCCACCCAAGGACTACAAATGTTCTTGGAGGGTAGCAACCATGGCCAGGACAAACGAAGCCAGGGCTCTCATGGACCCACCAGACCCTGTGGTGTCTGTGGCGACAGGCACCGGTGAAGGCTTCCATCTGGAGGGGTGACGCGTCTCCAGCTCTGTTTTAGAATGGGCTCTCTGACCACAGAGTAGAGGAGACCACAGAGTGGAGGAGAAGGCTCGAGGGAAGAGTCTGCTACCGAAGTCCAGACAGAGAAGGGAGAAAAACAGTGGGGGGAGGTGAGCTGCTTCACAGGCAGGAAGGGGGACTTGGGGAAACTGTGTACCACTTCTAGTCTGTGCTTCATGACAAACAAGTACACCCCAAGTTCTCAGGAAGCACTGCTATGCCGTCTCCCCAAGATCAGGGCCTGTCCATCAGAGGGGAGGCCAGGGGGCTCCACAAGGCCAAGATCCCCAGATATAACCCCAAATCCCTCATCCCTTCCTTCCAGACAGGGATGGGGACAAGTCGGCAGGTGCCATCTTCTTTCTTTCCCTCCCTTGACTCTGCCTAATAAAATACATCTCCATTTCCGCATACCTGGTTTAAAAGGTTTAGACTTGCCCTTTAGTATTTACTGCTCTAACACTTATAAAGGGAGACTTCAGCTCTGCTGGAGAGCCTATAGTCACCAAGGAGGAATTCCCAGAGCATAAAATAGCACAAAGGGCTGATGACAGCTCTGCAGAAATTCAGTTTGTATAAAAATAAGGAAGGGAAGAGGTCACAAGGTTATCTAAATAAGGTGAGGTTTTGAGATTAAAAGGATTCTTTGGTATCCTTCTGTGCATACATGCGTGTGTGTACACACACACACACACACACACACACACTTCACAAGCGAAAGTAAACACGCACACACACATATACATACCTCACAAGTGGGAGTGACAATAAAGGCAGCAGGGTGAGTGGGCTTTGCACTTAATTGGCACTCATTAACGTTTGCTGAATTGGTGCACACCTCTGCTGTGATCAGCCTGTTTTCTATCATTGACCATTGCTCCCAGGAGTTAATGTTTGAGCCTGGCCATAAAGGAGTCCAGCAGCTGACCTATGGTCAATATGGGAAGAGGAAGGAGCCCCCTATAAAACAGCCCACACGAGGCAGCCCTACTAGCAGAGCTGCTGGTTAGCAGTGGAAAGGGAGCCTCATCGCCACCATGAACTTCTCTGGCAAGTACCAAGTTCAGAGCCAGGAAAACTTTGAGGCCTTCATGAAGGCAGTCGGTGAGTGCTGGACTGGGTGCCAAGGCTGTGGGTCACAGCAACCAGGGTCTGGCCCCACAAGCAATGTTGGGATGGGAGGAGAGAGTCAGGCAACCCCCAGACCAGGGGGCATTTATTAACTTCCGTGGTCGCTTGTAGCTTGTGCTAGTACTCACTGAACAAGGTCACCCTGTAGGCGAGTAGAAAGAGCACTGAACTTGGGATCTGATCTGGACTCAAGTCCCATCTCTGCTGGTGCCTCATTGGGTGACCTGTTTATTCATTCATTCATTCATTCATTCATTCTTCTAACAGCATTGACTGGAGGCCCACCACAGGTTGGGTGCTGTGCTGGATAGGTACCAGGGAGATAGATAACAATGAGCTGCATTTCCAAGAAGGCCACAGTTTAGAGAAAGAGAAAGAGAAGAAATAAGTGCAATTAAGTATCTCCTACCCTACACCATGTGCTGACTCTATGCCAGGCATTATGCTAAGCACTTGATATGCAATATTTCATTTAATCCTCACCAAAAATCTCTGAGTTAGGTGCTACTATTTTCCCATTTTGTAGTTGAGGCAACTGAGGCCTAAAAAGTCTACATAATTCTGACCAAGTTGACTCAGGTGGGAGCTGTTTGGGTTGGAGTTTGAAGCAGGAACTGATTCTCAGAAACCCTATATCCATGTGCCTCCCAGAACCACGAATGAACGGGAGGGTATGCTGCTCAGAGGAGGGCGTGGTCAGCCCTCCCAGGGTCCGGGCTTGGTGGTGGTGAAGGTGAGCCTTGGGTTGGGCCTGGAAACACTAGCATGTGTCCACTAGGCAGACTGGGGGCAGGAGCTAGGCTCCAGGCAGAGGGAGCCTCGTGAGCAAAGGGGCACAGTGTGACAAGGTAGAGCGCTATGAGGAAGAAGGTTGGGGAAGACAGCAAGTGCCGAGAGAGGAGGCCCACGGGTGCCCCTGGGAGCTTGGATCTTCTGTCGGGCAAGTCCCACCACCTCTCTGTGTCTGGCATCCCTTCTGTGTGGACCAGGGCCCTCAACTGCCACCAACCTGCATGGTCTTTGTGAGCCTCGAGTTGTCTAACAGCAGGGACAGGCTCTGCAAATTTAAAGCCCTATCCTAGGGCAAGGGAATCCTGGTACACCTTCCTCAAGACCCTGGACTAGAGGCGATATCTGCCTGTGGGACAGGGATTGATGAACACTCGGCCCAGTTTGCCTGGCATGGTCCCTGCTTGTGCGTGTTGTCCTGGCGTAATTATTAACGGCTCCCCCTTTCACCTCAGGAGTGTCCCAGTTTGGAAGACAAATTCTAAGATGATTCCAGGTATGAAGGATGAAATGCAAATGCTCAAAGACCAAAGGCTCCTGGCATTAAAGACGGAAGAAGTGAGGAAGGAAAGCGAGAGAAAGCCAGGTTGCTCTCAGGAGGAGAGGTTCTTCAGGCCAGAGGAGTGTCCTTTTTATCAATTAACTGGAAAGATAGCAAGCAGGGCAGGCCAGGCCACTGACCTTTCCTTTCAGAGGCCAAAGCCCATGTTCCCCACCGGCTTCCAGAAAGGGCCTCACGGCCTCTGGGGAGACAGCCACACAGTACCCACACCCTCCCCCACCATGACACAAAGCTTCTATTGCCCACCACCTCCTTGCAACTCCCACCACTGCCATCTCTAAACTTCAAATGCTTTCCACCAGGTCTGCCTGATGACCTCATCCAGAAGGGGAAGGACATCAAGGCGGTGTCAGAAATCGTGCAGAATGGAAAGCGCTTCAAGCTCACCGTGACCTACGGGTCCAAAGTGATCGAAAACGAGTTCACCCTGGGGGAAGAGTGTGAGATGGAGATGATGACAGGGGAGAAGGTCAAGGTAGGACATGCCCCTCTGCTTTCGAAAACTTACCCTGGAACCTGGCCCCAGGGCTTCCTTCCTCAAGGTTCACACCTCACAACTCCCACCATACACAAGGTCTGTAAACCCACTTCTGGGGTGAAAGGCCAAGAGACAAAGACAACTCTTAGGTGAGAAGATCTGAAACCACTCTCGCCCTCCCCGGGACTGTCAGAAGGACCACCTGGCTCACAAATCCGAGCACTCCTATGTGGATACGGGGAGAACCAGGCACAGTTTTAAGTCTCAGGTCCTCCCCCGCCGCCACAGTTCTCTCCACTCTCAAAGCCCTCTAACCAGAGCCCAGCAGCAGGGCAAGACAGGGGGTGTCGGGAGGGTAGTCTGTGAAAAACCCTTAATCAAGCCCGGATGTCATCCTTGAGCCCAGAGTGAACTGGGCTTTACCAAGCCTTGAGGTAATGGAGAGAGATGTCCTGCAGGAGGTGCTGGCAAAACCAACATACCAAAGCTCCAGGCAGGGGCTCAGCCTTACAGGAGCTGGTCACTGAGCCCCCAACCTCAGCTCCCTCATCTATAAAATCGGAATAATCAACCTTACCAGACTGAAGGCAGGGGAGGGAGCATCACCTCCTCTGGACTGGCTCAAGGTGTGGGTGTGGGCTGTGCAAGTGGTCAACAGGCGACAGCAGGGAAGTCCAGGCACTGTCAGTGCCAGGCACTGAGGACCTCTCTCCTACCTTTGGAGACACCACACACCCCAGGGAAGCAAACACCGGTGAACGTCCGCCTTCACTTCTCCCCAGACAACTTCGTGCTTTGGTCTCAGCACATTTGTCTTTTGCTCTCTTCTGAGCTCTCTTTATTTCTGCTTCTCCAGATAAAGCATTACAAGTCAGGAAATCTGTGACAAATTTTAGGAGGGAAAATCTCTTGATATCCTGCACTGATGGGGTCACAGTAATAGGCAGGTCATTAGGGGTTTACCAGGTCCTTTTCCAAATGTCCATTTTGGTGGCAAATTTTTAATCTTGGCCAGTATCTTCTGCTCCCTGCTGGTTTCTATGTCACCTCTTTGTGGATGTATAAGGCTTGAAAAAGAGGCCAAAACAGGAAAGATAAACATTCTGGAGGAATAATACATACCAATGCAAAATATGTGTTCTCCCTGCTGGCATTTTGAATTTTGCCACTACCTCCCTCCAATATCTTGGAGAATTGAGATTTTACCCAATTTTATCTCAGTGTTTGTATTTAAGACCACTTGGGTGTCCAGTGCTCATTTCTAGATGCATACCATAAAGAAAAACTCTGACCAAAGACACCCTAATATTTTCTTTAGTTCTTAAAGGAAGACAATGCGGGAGTTGAGGTGTATGAAGATGCGCATTCTGATTGTTGTAAACAGAGACCCCTGCAGGGCAGCCAATCTCATTAGCAAGGCCCTTGCTCCCTTCCCAGGCCCCTCTTCACACGCCAACTCCTCTGTCCCCTGCAGACGGTGGTTAATATGGAAGGTGATAATAAACTGGTGACAAATTTCAAAGGCATGAAGTCGGTGACTGAACTCAACGGAGACACGCTCACCAGCGTAAGTTGGCACTCTGAGCTTGTAGCTCCCAGTACTTGAGCGGAAGGGGTGGGTGAAGGGTGAGGAGCAGCCCCCACCCCTACCCTGCCTTCTCTGTTGTCAATATCTGCTACCATTTACTGAGGATTCACATATGCCAGGCAGTTTACACACATTATCCCCAATCTTTCCAACATCCCCAAATTTTATAAATGGGGAAAATGAGGCAACAAAGAGCCAGGGAAGGCAGATCCAGAATTCCTTCTGAGCCGCGTCTGTCTCACAGGGCTGCCGCCCGCCGCTGAGCACTGCACAAGCTAGGGGGAGCCACTCACACTGCAGACCGCGTAGACTCCTATGCTTGTTATGGTTTTACAGCAGTTGCCTGCAAGGTGTCTTGTTCTAACAAAACCAGTGCAGCGTATTAGGATAGTTTTCTAACAGAAGTGAAGTATCTTTGAGGAAGGGGCACCCTCTTCTAATCTACCAAAGGCACCACATGTGCTACCGGCAGCCCTACCTGGTATTTTCCCCCACCTCTCCTCAGTTCCTTCGGGCTGGCCCCCACTTTCGTGGTAGGGTCAACCACACCTCCCTTCCCTCCCTTCCTTCTCTCCTCGATGACCCCTCCCCGCCTCTTCTCCCCTTTCTTCACCAAACGGACGGACGGACGGACTAAGAGGCACTTGGTAGGAAGAACCAGCAGCCCAGCCCACCCCTCTCTGACTCCTCTGGGACACGGCGGCCACGAGACTCGCTCACAAAGAGGGCGCAGCGATCCATTCACCCAGCAGCTATCGACTGAGCCTCCTGTGGAGCAGCCTTTCCCATTGACATAGCACCCACACGCAGGGAGGGTTTTGTTTATCCAGGGGTGGGCTCTGTCACAACCCTTCCCCTTCTGCCTCAGCACCAACCACGAGCCAGGGAGGCCTCCACCTTCCCGGCAAGCCCTGGGCACTTAGGAAAGCCTGCGCCCACTTGGCATTTATAAGCAGAATATTTGTGGCAGTTTTATAAGCAGCTTTTTGAGTCCCTGGATGGCACAAACAGTTAAGCCCTCAGCTACCAACCAAAAGGTTAGCAGTTCAAACCCACCCAGAGGCGCCTCAGAAGAAGGCCTGGTGACTGCTTCTGAAAGGTCACGGTCTTGAAAACCCTATGGAGCAGTTCTACTCTGCAGCACATGGGGTCACCATGAGTCAGAATCGACTTGATGGCAACAAGTTTTTTGGTTTGTTTGTTATGAGTCTGGAGCACTTCAGTTACTCAGTTATCCTTAGGGTCAGCTGTCCGCCACCCCGTCCCTGACTTGGGGTGAATTGTGCAGTGATTCTCCTACAGCTAAGTCCCCCTGACTCTTCTCTGCTCCCAGAATGTGCTTTAGGGAGAAACAGAAGGCAGAGCACTGCCCCGAGGGCCTGTCATCGCCCTGTTCAAGTAGAAAAAAATCCCTCAAATAGGGAGAGTGTGAAGTCAACTGCGAAACATATGGTCCCCATCCACCAAGCCAGCGTTCACACAGAGCAGGGAGGCGCCAGCTGGCCATGGGGAGAGGAGCCTGACCTGAACTCAGCCCTGCCCAATGCACTGCCTATGCTCCGTCTCCTAATCCTCGTCTCCCTGTGAGGGAGGCATCCTAAGGGATTTTATAGACAGATTGCCTCATCCAGGGTCACCCAGATAATAAGTGGTAGCAGCAGGGCTGGAATCCAGATTTTTCCATTGCTTTCTTTTGCTGCTGAAGCTAAAGGACTCCTTCTTTTACTCTGACAACATATCACATCATTGCAGCGGTCTTGCTGAAGAGAGTCGGCAGAGGCCAGAGGGAACGGTCCTCAACAACCCCAGAGCTGATGAATGCAATATTTCTACATGCCTCACAGCTTTAGGAGGAAAATCAAGCAGTGCCTATGTTCCAGGCCGAGTGTCTAGGCATTTCCATGCACATGTATCTTTGGTGCTCAACACATGTCTGGTACGCAAACCCATTGCTGTCAAGTTGATTCTAACTCATAACGACCCTATAGGACAGAGTGGAACTGCCCCATACGGTTTTCAAAGCTGTAAATCTTTACGGAAGCAGACTGCCACATCTTTCTCCCACGGAGCAGCTGGTGGGTTTGAAACACCAACCTTCGGTTAGCAGCTGAGCAATTAACCACTGTTTATTACCAGGGCTCTGGTTTGGTACATACCACTAAAAACGTTGCCATCAAGTCGATTCCGACTCATAGCGACCTATAGGACAGAGTAGAACTGCCCCATAGGGTTTCCAAGGAGCGGCTGGTAGACTTGAACTGCCGACCTTTTCGTTAGCAGCTGATCTCTTAACCACTGAGCCACCAGGGCTCCTGTTCGGTACATTAAAAACAAAACAAAACAAAATCCGTGCCTTCAAGTTGATTCTGACTCATAGTGACCCTAAAGGACAGAGTAGAACCGCCCCATAGGGTTTCCAAGGAGCGCCTGGTGGATTTGAACAGCAGACCTTTTGGTTAGCAGCCATAGCTCTTAACTACTACACCACCAGGGTTTCTGTTTGGTACATAGTAGGTGCTAAATGAAACTCTGAGAAATTGGACTGGATTAGATTGGATTGAATTGGATGATCTTTCTATAACAGTCACTAATGTAGAAAAAAATTCAGTAAAAGGCAGGAGAACTTTCCACGTGAGGAAGTGAAGTGACAAAGACGTGGCATAGTATTTTAGAAAAAGTTGCAACCCTTCCTCTGGTCCTACAGAAAACAGAGGAATCTTTGAGTTGTTTTATATATTAGCACATTTGGGGCTATTTTGCAGACTTAATTAATTTTTATAATTGAATATCAGATAAACATTTTATGATTTCTTTTCTGGCTTTCAGACTATGACATTGGGTGACGTTGTCTTCAAGAGAGTCAGCAAGAGAATTTAGACAAGTCTGCATTTCATATTCTTCTACTGTGTTAAAAAAAAGTAATAAAGTGAACTTTGTTTTAAAAACGTGTTTTTTTCTGATGGCTTTTCGTTGATGGTGATATTGGGATCAATGAGCACTGATAACCTCTATTTTTATAAACATTGAAAATTGCCATGCACCACCCCAACGGGCTGATCTGAAGGGCAGTTCTCACCCTGAATGCAGACTCCAGGGCCACCCACTACTGTCTCTCGGAGGAAAGCAAGGTGTGGCTGGATCTATAGAACAGCCCGGGAATATTCCTTCCCAACCTGCCGCATGGGCAAGAAGCTGGAGTCAAGTGGGTGTGAGGTGGGCTGGTCTTGAGGGTGGCTCCCGTGGGGCCAGGGAGCAAGAACACTGGGTAGGCAATGGAGAACAATACCAGAGCACCGCCGAAGTGGTCCACCCACAGTGGACACGCGAAGAAAGGTGTGGCACTGGCCCACTAAAGGGACATTTCTTCCTCCTGTGAGGAGGGCTGAGTGAGGGGTTTTCAGACAGGCTCCAGACATGAACAGAGGAAGCTCGTGTAGAAGTCCCCTCCACCCCATGGGCAGAGGCAGAATGTAGGAGAAGGGAAAATGATTTCTCTGAATACTACATTTTGTCAGCTCTGTTAGGTGCTCACACCCCACATTCAAAGAGCTGCCAAGTTCTGGCATTTCTGCCTTCTTATACCTTTTAACACCTAGAACCATAATGAGCTCTCAACAAAGATGTCTCCATAAACGAATGAATCGTTTTCATCTCCACCTCTTCTCTTCCCACTTGTAGAGTTGAAACTCCATTACTTGTTGGTTGGATTGTTTCAGAGGCCACTTATAGCGTCTCCCTGCCTCTCTGTCTCTTATTAGAAAGGCTTCTCTATCCCCCTAACAGTCATCTTCCTTAAACAAAGGATGCTTTAGAAGAATCCTGATCAAAAGAGGTAAAAATAAGGAACAGAATTTTAAATTCTCAATGGAATCCAGACTTCCTGGAGCCATTGAGGCTGGATGAGTCCCCGAAATGATTGACCTGAGATAATCTTTAAACTTTAAGTCTTAAACAAAAACTATCCCCTAAAGTCTTCTTTGAACTAAAAGATAGCACATTTTAAATAGTAAAGTACATCGGCTTTGAGCATTGTGCTCTTTTAAAGAATTGTCTATGTGAGATCAAATTGATAATGGCAACTCAAAAGGTTGGATGGGAAGTTTAGGGGGCAGTGAGTTTAAGATAATGGTGGTGGAATAATGTGGAAAAGGCTAGCAAAAAGGGTAGCACAACTTAAAGAATGTAACTGATGTCACTGGATTGCATGTGTAGAAATTGTTGGAATGGTGTATCTTCGGCTACATATACTTTCACCAAAATTAAAAAATTTTTTAAAAAGCACCAATCACGATGGTCAGACTCGCAAACCTGGCGTTTAAGTCTATCAGGGGTTGGCAAATGTTTTCTGTAAAGAGGCAGAGAGTGAATGTTTTCAGCTTTGTGGGCCATACAGTCTCCAGTCTCGGTCACAACTAACTTGTCTCCGCTATGGAGCGTGAAAGCAGCCATAAACAGTACACAAACAAATAGGTGTCGCTGGGTTCCAAGAAAACTTCATTCATGGGCACTGAAATTTGAATTTCATATAACTTCACATCACAAAATATTATTCTTCTTTTGAGTTTTTTAACCCTTTAAAAATGTAAAGACCATTCTAACTCACAGACTGTACAAGAACAGGCTGTGGCCAGATTTGACCCATAGGCTAATTAAAGGTTGCCAGACAAAACAAATAAACCCTTTGCCATCAAGTCAGCTCTAACTAGCGGTGATCCCCATGTGTTACATAGTAGAATTGCTTCATAGGGTTGTCTTGGCTGTAATCTTTACAGAAGTAGATCTCTAGGCCTTTCTTCCACAGTGTCACTGGGTGGGTTCGAACTGCTAACCTTTAGGTTGGTAGTTGAGTGCAGTTTGCACTACCCAGGGACCTTCTAGGTTGCCAACCCCTGCTCAGTTATAGCCTGTCCCAAACCTTCTTTTCCACCTCACCTACCATCATGCCCTTTCCTACAATATGCATTACAATCGTACTAAACAACCGCTGTTCCCCTCACAGTTTAACTGCTGCCACCTTTAAGAGGTCTTCCCAAATTGCTCAGCTGAAAGCACTCTTTCCTTCCCCCTGACATTTTAACTGCACCAGCCTTTTGGAATGAATTCTTCCTGCCTTGCACTATGGTTTTCTCTGTACGTTTGCTTCTCTTTCTCCCACCTGGACAGAGTCTTTAGGGAGAGGAGGACCATTAGTTGGGGAACTAAGGCAGATTTAAGGAAAGTACCTCAGCACTTCAGGAAGAACTCAGAGTTGGCAGATACAGGGAACAAAACAACAGAACACAAAATATACCGTTCACGCACACACACGCACACACACACACACACACACACACACGCACAGAAAAAAATTCCGGATGACTAAATAGCTAAACAAATAAATATAAAATATTAGAAATAGATATGACAGTTGATAAGTAACGTGAAGTATAGAAGACTTTCTTAAACAAGATGCAAAAAAGATGAAGGAAAAGATTAGTAAATTTGACTTCCTCAGTATTTAAAGTTTTCTATGAGAAAGATACCATACACGCAGTTAGAAAAACAATAAGTAACAATGTGGGAGAGAATATTTGTAGCTTACATAACAAAGGGGTAATAAACCCGTTGCCGATTCCAATCCATAGCGACCCTATAGGACAGAGAAGAACTGCCCCATAGGGTTTCTAAGGAGCAGCTGGTGGATTTGAACTGCCAACCTTTTGGTTAGCATCCGTAGCTCTTAACCACTACACCACCAGAGAAATAGCCAGAATATGAAGACCTTCCCCAAATCAATCAGACCAGCAAGTCAATGGAAAGGTGGATTGAGGACATTAATAGGCAATTCACAATATGAAATATGCCTCTTAGTAAGCAGGAGGGATGCAAGATGAGATACCATGTTAAAAATCAAACTAGTAAAAAGTCAAAAGACGGCTAACATCAAGTGCTTTCAAGGATGTGAGAGAATGATTCTCCTCTTCCATCAGTGGTGGAGGTGCAAACTGGCACAGCCCCTATGCAGCATGGTTTGACAATATCCATTAATAGTTCCAGTGTGGATCCCCTAATACCTAGCAATGCTGCTGCTGTACATCTCCCTAGAGAAGTATTTATACACGTGCACAAAGAAGCATGCAAAGAACGCAATCGCCCAAAACTGGAAACAAATGCCCGTCAATGAAAAAAGGTTAAACTGTGGTACAGCCATAGTCTGGAATAATCTCCAGTAGACTAAACTGAACGCGGTTGATCTAATTCTATTGACATAGAAATATCTCTGAGACAAAGCTTAAAAAAAAGAAAGTTTCAGAATAATATGTACAGTATAATGTTACTCATGTAAATTTTGTTAAAACATAAAACAAAATCATCTATTTATATACATGCACATATATATATGTGAACACACAGAAAAGGCCTAGATGGTTGAAACACTAGATAATATCCACAACCTCTGGGGTGGGAACAGGAATTGGGTAGATGGTCATGAGAAGATTTTTGCATGATTTATGTTGTTTGAATCTTTTGCAAGGAACAAATTTTGTAGAACTATGTATTTATTAGTGACCAATGAATTAAAAAAAAAAAAACAGATGATTTAAAGTAAAACACACTGGGCCTAAAGTCATGTTTCTAATGAACTAATCCATGATTTTGGGACCTCAGTCTTCTCATCTGTAAAATGGGCAACACAACGCCTTCTCCCATGGCTATTGTGAGAAGCCCATGAAATGATACAAGCTACATGTCATCAAATAAAACATGTCATTATTGCCTCCATCACATTCCTCAAGAAGCTTCAATTGGGTCTGACATGCAGACCTTTAGCTGAAGTTCTCTTGAGCCCAGAGACATTGACCTGAGAGCAAATAAAGAGGCTAGAAAGGAAAAGATATTTACTCAGTACCACCCAGCTGATAAGTGGTGAAACGGAAGTCCTCTGACTCTCAAGCCACAGGTAAAGGAAAGTGGTAAAGAAACAAGGTCTTTTCTTCAATAAACCCTCCAGAAATCTGACAAAATTCCTGAAGTTCCCTCCTAACCAGGCTCTTCCGCTGGGAAGAACTCTGGGTTTTGAACTAGATTGTATGTTTTCGCCTGAAAGGAGAATTAATTTTAGATGTTAAATTTGGATCTTGTACAGGTACCTAGAGAACTTTGGGCCTGAAGCTTGCTTTAAATAAATTGAAGGAACAGCTGTTTGTGGTATCAGCTATTTTTACCTTGCTGCTCTCGCTCTTGACTCCTCTCGGCCTGTCCTGTGAGCATCCTACCAACAGAGGGCGCTCTTTCCCTGTGAGTCCATTGTTTGGTGACGAGCCAGTTTTGATGTCCACATTCGCACAAAGTAGAAATGTCCATTTTTGTCTTTTCCTTTAACTAACTGCTACTAAGATTTAAAAAAAAAGTGATTTTTTGTTTTCTCTTTTTCTACATATATATTTTATGTATATATATACACACACACACACACATATATATATATATATATAAAATATTAGAGGTCATGTTGACCATACCTTGATTTTTTAGTATTTCTTACTAGAAAACCATGGAGTCATGAAGTTAGCTATACCTACCTCCCACAGCCCAACCACACTCAGTCAAAGCAGCGTTGGGCAATGCTAAGCCCTGAAGATGCAATGATCCTCAGGAGACTGCTGTGTACTCGGGAGACCAACTCATGATCTCAGCGTTGTGATACAGATGAGTACAAACTCCAGACCTATCCTGCAGAGGGTGTGGCGGTGTTGCCTAGGAAAACGTCTCAGAGCTGACGTTTTAGCTGATTCCCAGAGCATCTGAGGATATTTGCTTGGCCAGGAGGTGTGATGTTAATGGAGGTTTGACAAGAGATGAGGCTGAAAAGGGACACAGAGTCTCTATCGTGAATATCCTTTTACACTAGTGAAGAGTTTGGACTTGATCCTGGAGACAGTGGGGAATCATTGAAGAATTTTCA